TTGTTAAAAAAGAAATGGAACACAAATATTGACATTATTGGTATTAGCAAAATGAGAATGGGTTGACATGGAACATTTTGAATCAGAGGATCATATAATATACTATGTTAGAAATGAAAAGGTGAGAAAAAAATGAGGTCGCTTTCATAGTTAAAAAGGCTATATCTAGATCCATCCTGAAATTCAATATTGTGAGTGACAGAACAATATCCATATGTATACAACGAAGACCTGTTAACACCACTGTCATTCCAATTTATGCACCAACAATGAGAGCCAAAGAGGAGGAAAGAGATGATTATTACCAATTGCGGCAATCAGAAATCAACTGAACATGCAACCAAGATGCATTAATAATGGGTGACTGGAAAGCGAAAGCTGGGAACCAGGAAGAAGGATCAATAGTTGGCAAACATGGTCTTGGTGAGAGAAATGAGACTGGGGATAGAATGATGGAATTCTGCACACTCCACGATTTACTTGTGGCAAATACCTTTAAATACCTTTTATAAGGAACAAATACAGACTACACAAATGGATTTCACCTGATGGTATACACAGGAATCGGATCGATTACATATGTGGAAAGAAACATTGGAGAAGGTCAATATCTGCAGTGAAAACTAGTCCAAGTGCTGATTGTGGAATAGACCATCAACTACTCATATGCAAATTCAAATTAAAGCTAAAGACGGTTAAACCATATCCATAAGAATAAAAATTTCATCTTGAGTCTATCTATTCCCTCTGAATTTAAAAACCAATTCAGGAACAGGTTTGAGGCCTTGAACACTAATGAATGAAGACTAGATGAGCTGTAGGAAGGTATCAAGAATATCATCCATGAAGAATGCAAAAGGTTATTACAAAAAAGTAAGAAGAAGAAAAAGACCAGGATGGATGTCAGAAGAGACTCTGAATATTGCACTAGAGCACTAAGAAGCCAAAGTAAAGGGAAAAAATCAAGGAGCTGAATAAAAGATTTCAAAGGGTAGTTCAGGAAGACAAAGCAAAATATTATAATGAAATATGCAAGGAGCTGGAGTCGGAAAATCAAAAGGGCTGAACTTGCTTGGCATTTCTTAAGCTGAAGAACTAAAGAACAAATTTAAGCCACAAGTTGTAGTGCTTAAGGAATAATAGTAAATGATTCAGGAAGTATATAAGAAGATGGAAGGTGTATACAGAGTCACTGTATCAATGAATGAATGAATGAAGCAATGAATAAATAAATAAATAAAATAAAATTGGCTGACACAGAAGAATTTCAAGAAACAATAAATGATCAAGAGGCAATGGTGATGAAGGAGGAAGTTCAAGCTGCTCTGAAGGACTTGGTAAAAAATAAAGCACCAGGAATTGATGGAATACCAATTGACATATTTCAACAAATAGATGCTGCCTTGGATGTGCTCACCAAATGCCTAGAAATCTGAAGGATAATTACCTGGTCAACTGACTGGAAGAGATCCATATTTATTCCCATTCTAAAAAAAGATGATGTATGAGAGTGTGGAAATTATCAGACAATATCACTAATATAAAATTCTAGCAAAATCCTGCTGAAGATTTCCCAGAAATGACTAAAACAGTACAGCAACAGAGAATTATAAAAAATACAAGCTGGGTTTAGAAGAGATTGTGTTACTAGAGACATTATTGCCAATGTCAGATGGACCTTGGCAGGAAGCAAAGAGAAACAGAGGAATGTCTATTTCTATTTCATTGACTATACAAAGGCATTTGACTGTGTGGATCACAACAAATTGTGGTCAACCTTGAGGAAAATGGGAATCCCACAAAACTTGATCATGCTCATACGAAACCTATACTTGGACCAGGAAGCAGTCCTCAGAACAGAGCAGGGAAACACTGCATGGTTCAAAATCATGAAAGAAGAGCGTCAGGATGCATCCTGTCTCCCCAGCTTTTCAATCTATATGCAGAACAGATCATTTGGGAAGCTGGGTTTTATGATGAGGAATGTGGCATCAGGATTGGAGGAAGACTCATCAACAACCTATGTTATGCAGATGACACAACCTTGCTTGCTGAAACTAAGGAGGACCTGGAGTGCTTGCTGCAAAAGGTCAAGGACCGTAGTCTACAATATGGATTGAAGCTCAGAATCAAGAAGACAAAGATTCAAATCACTGGGCCAACTGGTAGCACTATGATGGATGGAGAAGAGATTGAGGTTGTTAACAATTTCA